ATTAATAATTTTTAATCTGGAGGTAGCCGTGGTTAACTATGACATTGGGACGTCATACACCTCAGTCCCCCCCCGTGACCATGAGTGCTGTAAAGTACTTGAAACGTCGGGAATATAAAATAAGTTAATATACGCGATAAAATCCGTAAAATTAGTTTTATTTAAATGTGTAGTGTTCGCGTAAATATAAGAAATCATTATGTGAACCAGTACGGACTGGTAATTGCAAATAAAATTCGCCGATTAGAAGATCTCATGACTAAGCGCGCAAGATATCTAACAGCATTAAACTTTCTGAAGAGATGTCGCGACAATAATATCATTCCTACGTGTGTCAAAATATCCACTAAAAAGGACATTCGAGGAAGCGCTAAGATCTTAAATCAGGCAAGTAAAAAGTTGTTACGAACGGTAATCCAACAAAAACGCTCCGATCTACATACCATAAACAAATCCATAGACACATCATTCAATGAGTTAAAGGCAGTTTTAACGACATTTGATTATAATGTTTGCATCGAAATGTTAAATAAACGAGAAATTAATAAATATAACGAATGCAAAAACAAACATATAGTAAAATATCAAAAATTAACGACCAAATTAAATGTCAAACATCTGAGTCAACGTGAGAACGAAACGCAACCATTGACTACGAACGCGGATCATAGATTAAGCGCGGTCTATAATCTGTCAAAACAAACTCTGGATGATGCAACAATTAGAGTATTATCGAAAGGCCTTAATTTTGCTTTAACACCTAAAAAATTACCGTACGAAGAAATTATCTGTAGTGTCGAGGACTGTTTATTTAAAAACAATATGCGAAAGGAAGATTTGGAAGCGATACGTCAAGACATTTCGTCTATGTTACGTCGAAGTTCAGCGCCAAAACCGAATCTACCTAAAGACGAATTTAAAGCGTTGAATAACCTACGCAATAAACGAGAACTCACGATTCTCCGCGCAGATAAGGGAAATGCCACGGTAGTCATGGATACGTCGGATTATAATTCTAAAATACAAGAACTTTTGTCGGATGCAAGTACTTATAAAAAGGTTAAAAATGACCCAACAAATAACACACTCAAAACAACTAGTGATCTCATAAAGAAACACTCCGAAAGATTAAATCTAGACGTAAAATCGATAATACCTACGTGTGCCAAACCACCGAAGTTGTATGGGTTACCAAAAATACACAAGCCCAATGCTCCACTACGTCCTATAGTGAGCCAAATCGATTCACCAACTTACAAATTGGCTCAACACTTAGCGAATATACTCTCACCGCTCAAGGGACATACAAGAGCACACACAAAGGATTCCTACCATTTTGTCAGCGAGATTAAAGACCTACATCTGGCAGACAATGAAACTATGGTCAGTTTTGATGTGCAGTCTCTGTTCACATGCTTACCTGTTGAAGACTGCATCTCGATTGTTACTAGAAGGCTAGAGCAAAACAACATGCCCGTAGAATATGCAGTAGTACTTAGACACTGCCTTACATCTGGCTACCTATTGTGGAAGGAGGAGTTCTACAAGCAAGTAGATGGAGTGGCGATGGGCTCACCTGTATCTCCCATTGTTGCCGATATATTCATGGAGGACTTTGAGGAGAAAGCCCTGCGTACTTCTCCCGTAAAACCAAGATTCTACAAGCGGTATGTAGACGACACTTTCACAATTCTCCCTTTAGATAAAGTAACTGCATTTCTAGACCATCTTAACTCCTTAAATTCTAAAATTCAGTTCACAATGGAGTTAGAGGCAAACAATTCTTTAGCTTTTCTAGATGTGTTAGTAATTCGGAATCCTGATAACACCTTGAGCCACACTGTGTATAGAAAAAAGACCCATACAGATAGATATTTAAACGGTGATTCTCACCACCATCCTTCACAGTTAGCTACCGTGGGTAAATCTTTGTTTCAGAGAGCACGAGGGATCTGTGACAGTAAACATCTGGCCGCCGAGCTCCAACACGTCAAGCAAGTTTTGCACGACAATAAGCTTCGGGTCCCGCGCCTACGTCACAGTGAACGAGTGAAGCCGGCCACAGTCGAGCGAGTGCCTGCTGTACTGCCATATGTCAGAGGTGTCACTGACAAGATTGGCTACATCTTGAAGCGTGCTTCCATTAAAACATATTTCAAGCCGCCGAAGAAGATTAGTCAGTTTTTACCATCAGTCAAGTGTAATATTCCCCTGCAAGATGCAGGAGTGTACAAGCTTGATTGTGAATGTGGTCTCTCTTATATAGGACAAACTAAAAGATCTATCAAAACCCGCGTTAAAGAACACATAGCTGATGTGAAGAATAGACGCTCCGGGAAGTCTGCAGTCTGTGAACATGTACAGGATCGCCCCCGTCACTACATTAGATTTGATAGACCACAAATCCTCGCTAAAGAACACCGATTCCTTCCAAGGATGATTCGCGAGGCTATTGAAATCAAGAAACATCCTAATTTCAATAGAGAAGATGGCTGGGTGCTACCATCTGCTTGGGATCCCATAATTAATAAAATTAAATCCCAACCCAAGCATACAACTGCAAGACTTCATGATACTGTAAGTTCATACTGCGTAGATCGGAACAAAAATTAATAATTTTTAATCTGGAGGTAGCCGTGGTTAACTATGACATTGGGACGTCATACACCTCAGTCCCCCCCGTGACCATGAGTGCTGTAAAGTACTTGAAACGTCGGGAATATAAAATAAGTTAATATACGCGATAAAATCCGTAAAATTAGTTTTATTTAAATATTTTTGTATAATACTAGCGATCCGCCCCGGCTTCGCATGGGTGATTTCTGGATCTCGACAACAGCGTCGGCTAGCGGGTCCAATTGTGTTTCTCTTCTAAATCATCCAGGGACTCACTCAAACGCACACAAAAAAATACATCAAAATCGTTCGAGCCGTTTTCGAGTTTTAACGAGACTAACGGACAGCAATTGATTTATATATATATATATATATATATATATATATATATATATATATATATATATATATATATATATATAGAGATTAAAGTGACAAACGAGTTCACATGGTAAAAAGTTACTGCAACCAAGTACAAACAAAAGGAAATTCTTGTGCATTGTCGTCTCCGAGAAAGAATGAAGATGAAATACGAGTATGTACACATGTAATTATACCTACTGTCTCTTCCTTCAAACTGAAAAATAACACTGGTAGCATGACCGCTTGGCGACAGAAAGGTTTGAGAGGTAGTACATATTTAAACTAAAATGGGGGTCATTTTACAATTTACGATGTACTATATTCATTTTTTTTTATAGTATAAGGGTGACAAAGGAGCACTCAGTCTACCTGATGGTAAGTGGTTGCTGCGGCCCATAGACATCTACATCTATCCTCTATTACAAATCAAAATGTAGATGCGTTGTCACCCGTGAGGACTAAGATAGAATGCCTCATTTCCAGTAAAAAGGGCCTCCAGCCACCTGCACTCACCAAGCGAAACGCAGAGGTAAACCTCTACTTCACGCTGATTTTCTGTGAGGTCGTGGTACCACCCCGGTTCGAGCCGGCCCATCCGTGCGACAACTAAAGCTGCCGCGTGGCTCTACCACTGTTAAAATGCTGAAATGATTTTTATAGCTGTAGCTTTTAATTATGATATAAGACTACATAAGTTTATAGCATTGCTATTGAATGTTTCTCAAAAAGATATAAAACTCAAAGAGATATATGATGCCTAATGTCAGCCTCATACATAATTTTCAACTAAGCGTACTTGTATCATAATGTAAGTATTATTATTTCACCTCAAGTCCTGATTCGACGAAAAAAAATATTGAGCATGTAGAAAAAATATCCCTATGAAATTCAAAATTACAACAATAGTTAACAACACAAATTCAAAATCAAAATAGGTTACTCACTGGAATAAAAAGTGTTGGAATCGCATTCGGCAACAAATATGTCCTCTTGTGCGTTTTACGAAAATAACGCGACTCAAAATGTTTCGAACATATGCGGTCATTCTTCTCAGGTTGCCATTCCTTTCTCCCAGCAGCTACAATCCACATATTTATAATGTTTGCTTCTTTAGGAAATCTAAAATAAATAAATTATATTGGTAATTAAATTAAAGTTAAAAAATTTGTTCAGTCGTTAAAAAATAAAGGAATATTTTTGCCAAGCACTGGTATCCCTGTAGTGATTATACACATGAAGTATGGAGTGTAGAGTAGAAGGAGGACCATCTCTGTATATGAAAAGTGTCCCTAAAAACGTGTCCAATAAGGGTGGCGCTGCAGTAGCATAGGATAAATTAAAAAAGAAGCGCCAAAAGTATTTAGAGTAAGATGGAGAAATAAATAAGGACCGATCAATCCGCTTGGTTTTGTACTACGTAAATAGTTGAGATTTTGTATATTGGCGTTTTACTAACTACTCTAGTCATGAAATATTTGAATTCAGCTGACTTCACTCCGTTCATAACAGCTATCTTCATATCGTAGTTTTTCAGACGCCAGCGCTATTGTGGTAGGTTTTGGAACCTCTATTTACAGTAAATAGTAGGACACTTTTTCAACCTTCGCTCCTTATAAGATGGTTCTCCTTCTACTCTACACTCCATAACATGAAGTTATAGATAAAGAAGGAGGCCACACTTGGAACAACAGCTTGAGTCAAATACCTACGTATCTTTATCTCACTCTCTGTGGTCTGACTTCTCTTTTTAGTGTGGAACACAATATTGCTATGTTTTTATTTGAATCTCCCGGTAAATTCTTAGAAATAATTTCCACACTAACTAAATCAGAAGTTAAGCTTTGTAAAATAAAGTACCAACAAATAAATAGTTGATCTACGATTAGTTACATTAAAAATTCCAAAATTGAAGGTCTCGTATGCATTATTGGGTTCACGAATCAGTGAATTACAATCCCATTTCCTAAGGATTCGGTAATATGGCAACATTAGCCCTATATGTCAATATAAATTAGACAAATATGGCGGTTGTTTACTTAGCAGTTCACAGCGTCGTTTGAGATATTTAAAGTTAATTATTGTTATAATTCAAGAAATGGTGCAAACTTGTGTAGTACGTGGTTGCGACAGTAGTTGGTGTCCAGGAGGTGATATAAGATTTCACACGTAAGTGTTTAAATAGTGACTTCTGACATTGAATACTTGTAAACATACTTTTTGTATTTTCACTTAATTTTTTGCTGAAACGTTTTATCAGTGTTTTAAACATATTAGTAAATTATAACTTTGTCAAAATCAAATAGTTTTACATTGAATTTAATTAAGTTTGAACAATTTTATTGTTTTTGTTTAAAAGAAATCGCACTGAAGTAGTGTGACCATATTGATGATGTATCTGAGACTTTCCGTGTGACCTTAACTAATTATATGTACATGTTTCTTATTATGTTACCGGAAATGCATGAAATTTAGAAATTATGTACACTTCCTATATATTCTATATAATGACGTATTTCATAGATTTCATAATATTAAATTAAAAATGAGTAACTATATATATTATAAGTAGAATATATTATATATTCTTTTGGTAGACAATTTATTTTTATTTAGTTTTAGTTTCTCATTATTCTGATACTTTAATAACGTTTATAATAATTATGTATTTAGAAATGTAGTAGTTTAGATGTATGATATAAAGCAACATTTTTTAAAATATGTTATTATTTGCAGACAATAAGTGCATTACATGAAGAGTCTATTGTGCAAATAGCTGCTCTGGCTGTACCAAGCACTAGTTCTGGCATTTATGAAAGTAGTTCTGCACTTAAGGAAACAGAAGTGAAATGTACTGGCTGTAATATTGAAGACCAAACTAGTAAAAAACAATGTCGAAAAATTCTTGAAAATTTGTGCAATCTTAACAAATTACCTGTAAGTGTCCTTTTCCTTTATTACTAAATACATACCTTTTATTTATTATGACTTTAATATTACATTACATAATGTATTATATAGTTTAAAACACATACATATTTAAACTCTTTAGTGCCAATCGCAGTGTGGTAATAGTTACTACGACACTAAGCATAAAGCTTCTTGTTTGATGCTTCATTTATGCGTGCTCACGAAGGCGCACTCCGGTGTATTATATGTTACCTATTAAGTGATGTAAATTTGTACTGACATTATGATGTAGAAGAGTTATTTGTTTCTTTTTTTTGTTAGAGTTCTCTAATCTCTTTTTTTTTTTTTTTTTTTTTGCTGTGGCAACCCTGGTTATAAGTTGTAAAAATAATTGGTCCCGATAAATTTTAATAATTTAAATATTGTAAATTCACCATATCCACCTCAATTTTATGTTATAGCTAATAATTACTGCCGCTTTGTATTTAATGTTTAAGAAAGTTGGTACATAAATATTATAACAACAATTTGGTGTTGGAACAAAAAGTGACAGGTAACGAACATTGTTTTAAAAATTATTGTAATCCTTATTTCATATCATTCCTTTTATAAATTAAAGATTTATTCTATTACTCGGGTTATTACATTCTTTGCGGGTTTCTTTTCGAATTGTTTTAACGATAATTTGATTTGAGACTTGTAAATAGAAAAAAAAACAACAACTTTACATTAGCTTACTCTGCTCCTTCTGTTTTCGATCTTTGTTTTCTTTTATTATTTATAATAAATAGTAAAATGAATACTCGCACCGCCAAGACGCGCCAGATGGAGAACCAACTCCAGCTTGCGCTCCAAGAACTTAAGGCGTCCAGGGAGCAGTGTGAACTGTTGCATAAGGAAAGGGATGATAATGAAAGGGAAATAGTTAGCATAATTGCCAAAAATACACAATTGAAATGTGATATGGTTAAGCTACATACAGAATACACAAGTGTTATAAAAGAAAGAGATCAGCTACAGGGAACGGTTAATGAGTTTGATCAATGCAGCAAGGAATATGAGGAAGCTCTCAGGTTAATTGCAGGGATGGAAAAAATCATGATTTTTTTAATTTTAATCAAATCATGCTGATTTTTTTAATAAATCATGATTTTTTTGATTTTTTTTGAATTTTTTGATTTTTTTGTATATTTGGAAATACACGAGTTGGTAACATTTTTTAACTTAGTAGGATTAAAAGTTTATGAATACACTAGCTGTTCCTCGCGACTTCGCCTGCGTGTTATTTGGGGTTTTAGTTTTTTTGCACGGAACCCTAATTCTTTTTCTAAAATTAAAGTAGCCTAGGTTACTCCTTATGACATCAGCTATCTGCCAGTGAAAGTCCCGTCGAAATCTGTCCAGCCGTTTCAAAGATTAGCCGGAACAAACAGACAGACAAAAATTAAAAAAAAATGTATTTTTGTTATACGTATCATATATACTTTCATATGCATTTAGTAAAAAGCCGTAATTTTGACATTACGAACAGACACTTCAATTTTATTTATTTGTATAGATATGTATGAGACTGATTAAGAGTAAAATAATTAATACATACTGTATTAATTACAGTTCATATACATATTAAGAGTGAATTTCTAAAAAAAAATTTGATTTTAAAACTGACAGATCTCATCGCTACGTCTTTGTTGATTTTCCAAAGTTTATGAGACTATTGTAGTAGAATAATAAAAATAACATAAAACAACAAAAGCTTTTACTTTATTTTAAGCCAGTATTATTTCGATTTCTGCTTATTACATTAATTTATACATGTTGATTTAAATCAATGATTCTTTTAATCAAAATCAAGCGATTTAAATCGTGATTTAAATCATGATTTAAATCAGTCTGATTTAAATCAGCCAACCCTGGTTAATTGCTGCATTGAAGTTACAGTTGAATGAGGCTAATGAGCAAATAACACAATTTAAAACATATATAGATAACCTTAAAGCCTCCCAGACTCAAAGCCTGTTCTCTGAGCTTGTGCAATGTGATACTTCAAGAATGTTACAGCAATCTGCAACAATAGACTTGACTGGTGACGACTCTTCCACTTCAGGAAATACAGTAAGGATTAATTGCAGTAAAACCAAATTGAAGAAGTATATAAAAGTTAATAAATACATAAGGAAAGTACAAAAATTAATAAGAAATAAGATTAATACCAAAAATTATGTTAATGTATGTAAAGAAAAGCAAGCATTGTTATATGAACTTAAGTTGTATTCAATTGAGGTGGATAACATAAAAAAATGTTATGAGACTGAAATAGAGTGCCTTAAATCAGAAATATTGTCACTTATGAACTCCCTTCAAACTGTGTCCAATAAATATAAATCAGCCCAAAATGAAATAAAAGAACACATATTGGCTATGGATAATCTGGTAAAGACTTGTAAATATAATGAGGAGCGGTTTGACTCCTTAGTTAAATATCAATGTGAGTGTCAGCGCTCAATGCCAGATTCTTCAAAGTCAGTGTGTGCTGATAATATTATACCACCACAAAAACTCTATGACAGTGCCATAGCAGAGGATATTAAAGTAATAAATAACTCAAATATTACTAAAAATAATATAATTGTTTATAGCGATGACATGGGAAAAAATCTAGGCATAACTTTAAATAACTCTTTAAAGGGACAAAAAGTTACAAATTGCTGCATGACTGGAGCATCTTTTAGTGACATCCTAAATAAAATTATTGTTACTAAATTTTGCCCAAATAGTACAATAATAATTTTTGTTGGTAGAAGAGGCAGTGTCAACAACAAACAGTTATTAAGATATATTGAACAACTTAATAACTTAAATGTACACAAAATTGTCTTGTTCACACTGCCTTATATACAGGGATTGCCACAAGAAAATAATTTAAGACATAATTTAAATATACAAATGCATAATTTAATATGTAATAATAATTTAAATTTGACATATAATTCTAATGATAATAATCATAAATTTCATGTAATTGACATAAATAATTTAATAAAAAAGTTTTGGACAAAAGATAGGTATTACCTATCCAAATATAATTTAAGACTGATAGCAAATGTGCTATCTTATTATTTACTTTTTAACTCAGCCAAGTTTTTGGCTACCAAGACTGCTTTTATTGAGCATAATCATTTGACATTTAATTTGGAATCAGTTCCAACTAATTTAAATTAGTGAATGTGACAATAGAGGCAATCTCTAGCAATAATAAGAGTTTAATTAATTTTGAATACAGCCCACAAATAAGTAATAAAAATTGTTTACACCTGGTGCATCAAAATATACAAGGCATGTTGGGCAAAGAATTGGAAGTTGAATTGTTTTTAAATAGTAACAATATACACATCCTTTGTATTACTGAACATTGGCTAAAAGATTATAATTTCATGTTTAATTTCAGAAATCACCAGGTGGTCAGTTCCTTCAATAGAGAAAAAAGTTTACGTGGTGGCTCCTTAATATTAGCAGATAAATCATTATTATATAAAGAACGTAAGGATATTGTGAGCCTCTCTGTTGAACGAACTGTAGAAATGGCTTGTGTCGGGCTCGAGCACCTCATTGTTGTAAGTGTTTACAGACCCCCATGTGCTACTTATGACCATTTTGAAAGGATTGTGGAAGAAGTTTTACTCAAACTTAGTAAACAGAACAAGTCTGTTGTAATGTGTGGAGACTTTAATATCAATCTCCTTGAAACTTCTTCCATTAGTATTAAGTTTAGCTCATTGTTTAAATCGTATAATCTTGTAAATTTATTCTTAGAACCAACACGTATTGCTGGGCCTAGTGCGACCTGTATAGACAACATTTTTACAGATGTTAAGCCCTTGCATAAATCAATTATTCAAAATTTAAGTTCAGGTCACTGTGGACAGTTAGTATCACTACCTTACATACACAAAAAACAGAAAAATAAGAAAGTTGTGTTTGTTCCAATAAATGAACATCGCTTGGAGAGGTTTAGAAGTAATATAATAAAAAGACTTCCATCACTTTCGTTTAAAAATAGTGCTAATTATTTGTATGCTACATTATTTGAAATTATACGTTGTGAATTTAGTAGAATATTTACTTCTAAAACTTTCTCTTTTAACAGTCGCAAATCCTTTAATGAATGGGCGACAGTAGGAATTTATAAAAGTAGGCGAAGGTTATACGAGCTTTATGATGAAAGATCATATAATAGTAGTGTTATATTTAGAGATTATGTAAAAACATATTCTAAAATATTTAAAAAAGTGTGCTCCACTGCTAAGGCTTTACATTTAAGCAACAAAATTAAAACTGCATCCGACAAAATTAAAATGACCTGGAGAATAATAAATAGTGAAACGGGCAAGGTCAAACCGCGCAACTCGGATTTTCAATTGAATATTAACAATAATTTAACGCGATCTGATCAAGAAGTTGCTATGGCTTTTGAGAAACATTTTACTGATGTTCCTTTTTTGACAACAAAATCATTAAATTCTTCTCCTACTGTCGCCGAATCATTGCTCAAACAAAATGTAAAGGCTTGTTCAAATACTTTTAAATTCCATAGGGTACTGCCAAAAGATATCGTTAAATATTTTAAAACTATTGATGTTAAGAAAACGGCAGACTTATGGGGGATTTCCGTTAAAGTTATTTTATCTATAATAGATACATTAGCACCTTATCTAGCCACTATATTTAATATAAGCGTCGAATCTGGTGTGTTTCCTGATTTAATGAAACATAGTAAAGTCATACCTATATTTAAATCTGGTAGTACATTAGACCCCGCCAATTTTAGACCAATTTCTGTACTACCAACATTAAGTAAAATTTTTGAAAAAATTATTTTAGATCAGATGTTAAGTTTCTTTAATATTAATAAATTGCTACATAATAATCAATTCGGTTTTACAAGGGGTCGCTCGACAACTGACGCTGGAGTTGAGCTTATTAAACATATTTTTTGTGCATGGGAGAATTCAGAGGATGCTTTGGGTATATTTTGTGACCTTTCCAAGGCCTTCGACTGTGTTCACCATGAGACATTAATCAGGAAGCTACAGTACTATGGTGTCAAGAACACAGCGCTTAAACTTATTATTTCATATTTAAGTAATAGAAAACAGAAGGTTATTATCAATGGTAAAAGTTCTTCCGGGTCACCTGTACTAATGGGTGTACCTCAGGGCTCGATTCTCGGCCCATTCCTGTTTCTGGTGTATATTAATGACTTACCTCACCTTGTAGGGGATAGTCATGATATAGTATTATTTGCTGATGATACTTCTTTGATTTTTAAACTTAAACGTCAATCATTTAAATGTGACGAAGTGAATAATGCTATATCAAAATTAGTGCATTGGTTTAACGTTAATAATCTGCATTTGAACGGAAATAAAACTAATTGTGTTAAATTTACAACAACGAATGTTCAAAATCTGAATACCAATGTGTTTTTAAATGGGGAGGAATTGAGCCCTGTTGTATCCACTGTTTTTCTTGGCATCACTCTTGACGCAAAGCTCCAGTGGGGCCCCCATATATCCAAATTAGCAAGCAGACTAAGTTCTGCAGCCTATGCTGTAAAAAAGATTAGAGGTCTCACTAGTGTCGAGACAGCTAGATTAGTTTATTTTAGTTATTTTCATAGCATAATGTCTTATGGGATTTTACTATGGGGAAATGCGGCTGATTCAGAAACTATTTTTGTTTTACAGAAGAGGGCCATTAGAGCTATTTACAATCTAAAACCAAGAGAGTCTCTTAGAGATAAATTTAAAGAAATTAATATATTAACTTTGGCCTCTCAGTATATTTACGAAAATTATTGTATGTTCACAAAAACAAAGATAGTTTTAGTAAAAGAAGTGATATACATTCTGTAAACACTAGGAACAAACACAAGCTAGTGATACCAGTTTCTCGACTCCACAGAGTCAGTAATTCATTCTTGGGGCAATGTATACGCTATTACATCAAGGTCCCGGAAAGTGTACAGGTTCTCTCTATTACCAAGTTTAAATGTTTTATTAAGCTGAAACTGTATAAAAAGGGTTATTATAGTATAAATGAATACATGGTTGATTATAACCCCTGGGAATGAGGTGATCGCTTCCAAGCAGTTTCTAAAATAAATTTTGTAAATAGTTCGTAATCATTTATATTGTAAAATTATTTAAAAAAAAAAGTCCCGCTGGGTTTCTTGCTGGTTCTTCCCAGGACAGAGGGTTTTTTTCGAACCAGTGGTAAAGTAAAAAATGACTTTCAATAAGAATTACACATGTAATGTATATTGAATAAAAAAATATTCTATTCTATTCTATTCTATTCTATTCTGGTTTGATTTGAAAATATTTTTTTGCATTTTTAAAACCAATTCTTCAGGAAGTCTATGTAACATCACGCTACGACCCTTATGAGTGAAGCAATACGATGTACGATGCTAAAAATACTGATTTCATAAAGTTTTCTTGTTTTCTTAGGTCAGCAGTGAATATGACGATCCCGCGAAGATTGATAGGGGCGTGCAAGTGAAAATAAAGTGTACTAAAGAAGAAATACTTGAGACGAAAACTAAGATTCTTAAGCAAAAAGTGGCGCGCCAAACTAAAAAATTCAGGATAGGTCTTCTTTAACCCTTTATAGGGCATAAAGATCTGGGAATTATATACAAAAAGCGGTTAGGGTATCATTTTAATTATGTTTTTAATAAGCAAGAAATAAAAAAAATATTTTTTTTTGATTATTTATTGTAAAAAAAAATTTGGTGGTAAAAATGTTCCCTTTGCCCGTCAGGCCACTCAAGATTACTGTGTATGAAAATTTGCAAAGCATGGAACCACGCAGAGTGGTACGGCGCAAATTCTGCACATTATTTTCGTTCTCTTGTCATGCGTCTTTGTGGAACATAATTTGCAACGCCTGTAAGATGGTGATTCAACTGGCATATGTGTCCCAACATTTTCAAACCGTTTCTCAAGTGGTACACTACCCACTGCTTTTTGGTAGTTTTCTGACAATACTTTTTTTCTATTCACATAGTTGGCCATGCTGGAAGCTCTTCGTTTACGGCTGGAATATTTTCCAACAAGGCCTCTTCCTAAAGCCACGTGAAATTCAAGGTGTGACAGTTGACTTGCTCTTTTATTTTGTTTATAAAGCAGGTATGCATTGGTAATGCTGGCATCTACCAAAAAATAAAATATTCTTCGCCACCACTTCTTACTTCTTCTGCTAACAGAATACGTACTTTTAACCTGGTCAAATTTGTCTACTCCCCCCATTCTCTTTGTATATTCTCTTACTGTCAATGGGCAACTTATAGCTAAATTGGAGCCATCTTTCTGTGTTCGATTTACAGTTGTTCTTTCTATTTGCGGATGAAATACATTGCTCAAGATAAGAACTTCTTTCGTGTCTTGCCACACAACAAATGAAACATTATCTTTTACTCTCCATCTGTACTCTCCCTTATTTAGTTTTTGGCTTGCCTTCTTTCCCTTTTTCTTTTTTATAAAATTAGGAAGTTCTATTCTGTTTCTACGTACAGTTCCAGTCGCGAAAATCCTTTTTTCATACAAATAATTTAGTAAATGATAGTCACAAAAAAAATTATCAAATGTCACATGTTTCTCTTCTTCCATATCCAATAATTTTTCTGTGAGTTTTTTACTACCTTACTTCCCAATCCACCCTCAGTTCCAGCATCTTGCTTGCCTGTGTAAATATCGAATTCGTAAAGATAGCCCGTGCTACTATCACATCTACACCATACTTTATAGCCGCGTTTTACCGGCTTCATCGGCATGTATTGCTTCAAGGATGATCTACCCTTGAATATTATCATCGATTCATCTATGCTCTGGGATGATGTATTTTTCGCCGCTGCTTGACAAGCCTCATTTATCAAAGTTACTAATGGGCGTACTTTGTATAGTTTATCAAACGTTTCTTCATCTCTCTGGGGCTGTTTAGAATTGTCATTCAAATGTAATGTTCGTAGCAACACCTTGAATCTCTTTATTGGCATTACATTGGCGATTTCATCAACCCTGAACCCCGGATCAGATGACCAATAAAGATTATAGTCTGGTAAAACATGATAACTCATCATTATAAGAATGCCTAAAAACGCTTGTATTTCAGGCTTTGAAGTCGGTGACCATGTCCGAATATTTTGCTGTTGAGCATATAGATTTGTCTGCTCAATTATGAGGTTATAAACTTCGTTAGTAAAAAACTTATCAAAGTATACTAAAGGCCTGCTGTTGTAAGATATTGGACTACGAGGTGCCAAAGTTATTTTGTCAAATACTGAGTAGTGTGGCCTGTTTCCATTAGACCACATCGCTTTATTCCATGAACCTTCTGATTCAGATTCTTCAGAGCTTTCTTCTATTGTTTCATTTGAAGAAATTCCAGATCTACTACAGCTCTGTTGACCAACAGACATTTCTATTTGTGTATTTTCTGGTATGGATATTTGAAAATGCTCAATTGAAGTGTTTTGAATGTGTGACTCAATATTATCTTTATAAGATTGTGGAAACTCCTGTGTCACTGGTGACGGAATTGTTTCCGGAATGTTTATATTTGTATTACTACTTGAGCTAGATTGCTCACCTTCTGAATTCACCAAAAGATTCTTGAGTTTTTCCACATTATACTCTTTACCATGTTCGTCAGACTCATATTCATCTTCGGAATTCGCTGGATCATATGGCAAGCTAACTAATAATTCCAGCTCTTTCGCAATCTCATCATCTAGCAACAGTCTCCGTGACATTTTCAGAATTCTGAAATAAATTCATATTTTGTACATAACAATGAGTAGGTATGGCGGACCGGGCAAGGGGAAATATATTCCCACCGATTCTTAGACACATTACTCTAATCACGAATATTGAAATTGAAAAATATGAATGATTTTGAGAAAACTATACACATTTCTAAGAAATAAAAGTAAAATTACACAATAACGCCATGTTTTCTGAAAGATTTATCGAGATTAGTTACAATAGCTCAAAAATTACCTTCTTCTTCTTCTTTCTTTTTTATGGCGGTTTTGATCATTCGCCAATGTCAGCGTGAAAGCGTTTATTGAGTAGAAGCTCAGTAGTTACAAATACTATGCCCATATACAAGAGAAGATTGTGATAGTACAAGTATCTTTTTTCCTTTAAACCAATTTTTTCCCCTTTTATCTTGTAGTACTAATGGTTATACTGTTGAATTACCTAGAACAAATGACAAACACGGTTGCTATAACTACATTAGTATGTTAGTATTGACAAACATTAAACTTTTATACCATTAGTGTTAATAAAATCACACAGAATATATACATAAGGAGTGTTTGTGTAGGTTAAAAGTGAATCAAAATTTATAGGACGAGGGATGTCAGGAGGGAGATAATCATAGAGTGAACAAGATAATTTAGGACAGTTAAAAAAAATATGGTCGGAGGTTCCCTCATCCAACCCACATTCGCAGAGGGAACTATCCCTAATCCTCAGTTTGGCCAAATGTACTGGTGTACAAGCGTGGCCAATTCTAAGTCTACAAATAGTTGATGTAGAATGTTTATTAGCTTTATTGAATTTGAAAAACCATGGTTTTGGAAGGATGGCACATTGTATAGCAGCATAGTGTTTACCTTTTATATTTTGAGTGGCTTTCCATAATGTATTCCAATTATTATTTAACTTCTTCTTTGCAAGTAACACTATGTCTGAGGAGTAAGTTAAATTACATGGCAAACCATTTCGACTGGCATTTTTAGCCATCAGATCAGCTGTTTCATTGCCCTTGATGCCACTATGACCTGGAATCCAAGCTAAGGAAACCTGTATGCCCTTGAGATGACATCTATACAATGTGTGTTTAATTTTGAGGATCAAGGGTATCTTATATTTACTTTGGAATTGGTTTGACAAAATTGCTAACAAACAACTTTTGGAGTCGGTAAGAATAACTGACTTATTTAAGTTGTGTGCTTCTATATATATTAAAGCTTCATGAATTGCCGTGGCCTCGCCAGTAAAAGTGGAAGAAATAGAAGGGCATTTAAAATTAAGAATTATTTTGAATCTGGGAATCCAAACTGCTGCTCCAGTACAACTTTCATCTGACTTTTTGGAGGCATCAGTGTATATAATAAGCCAGCCTTTCCATAAATTATCTATGACTCTACTTACTTTACTATTTGCTATAGGGCAATCTTTCTCAATACCAAGGTCGAGGTGGATATTTGGTTGGAAAATGATTGCATCATATGGGATATCAAATATGGGGCAGGACTTGAATTGTGATACTGGGTATGGTAGGTGGAGTAATGTTACCAAACTGTTGGATAAGCAGGGAGATTCTTTATGAGTCCAGTAATGTTTTGACGAAATATATTCCAAAAGGAGGTGTAGTTTAGAAATGAGAGGGTGGGAAGAGAGTTGGTAGATTTTAAAAAAGTATCGGTCCGAAAGATATTGCCTTCTTAGATAAAGGGGAGGGTCCACACATTCAACTTGGAGAGCACTTATTGGGGAAGATTTCATTGCCCCGATGATTATACGAAGGCTTTTGGATTGAATCCTGTCTAGGATCTTTAGGGAAGACTTATTGCACGGTTCCAAAACAAAACATCCATAATCTAAATGACTACGGATAAGGGCGTTGTACAGTATTTTTTGGGAGAATGGGTGGGAGCCCCACCAGACACCCGATAAAGCGCGAAGAATGTTTATATTTTTTTCACATTTTTTTGAGACATAGTTGATGTGATGTGAAAAGGCTAGTTTGGAGTCAAGAATAACTCCTAAAAATTTTACATTCTCCCTAATTGGGATAGGTTCATTATTATAGAGAATGTTGATTTCAGGGACTTGCCTATGGCGAGAGAAGATTACAACACTGCTTTTGGGAACAGACAAAGACAAACCATGATCACTTAACCAATCCTGTAAATAAGACATTGATATATTCAAGCGAGAACATGCTGCAAGGAGGTTATCTAAGGAAATATATATAGCTATATCGTCTGCATATTGGAGGATGTTACAGAAGGAGTTAACAGAAAGTTCTAAATCATAAGTATAGATAGAATAGAGTAAAGGACTAAGTACTGAGCCTTGTGGGAGACCCTTCCATACAATTCTTGGCGGGAGTAGAGAATTTTGACTGTCAATATAAATGGATCTAGAAGAGAGAAAGTTAGAGACAAAATTTACTATCCTCACTGGAATACTCAGATTAAGCATTTTTTGCCTGAGCACAGGAAGAAGTACATTGTCATATGCAGACGAGATATCTAGGAAGACTCCAACAAGGTATTCATGTTTAGAGTAAGCTATACGAATATCAGTAACTAGAGTACTAATGCTATCCATGGTGCTTAAGCCCTTTCGGAATCCAAATTGGCTTTTTGCTAAAAGATTTTTGCTTTCAAGAAACCATTCTAAACGATTTTTTATTAGGTGTTCAAGGATTTTGGCCATGGTGCAAGAAAGAGCAATAGGGCGGTAGCTTGCGGGATCAGTGTAGGGCTTACCTGGTTTGTGAATAGGTAAGATAACTTGGGATTTCCACTCTTCAGGAGGAATACCGGACATGTAAATATAATTCAAAATAGAAAGAAGATGGGCTTTAGTAGATTCACTGCTATTAGTAATAAAAGAATAAGGGATTCCATCGATTCCTGGTGAAGAGTCTTTAAGGACATTAAGAACAGAATATAACTCCTCATAAGAGAAAGGAGAGTCAAAACTGTGTTGATAGTGCAGGGACTGTGATTGGAATACTATACATTCATTGTAAGATGGTACTGAAGGAGGAGCAAGTTTACTAGCAAAATTTTCTAGCCAATAAGACTGATCATTAGAATTTGTGTTTTCAGGGGCCGAAACTGAACATCGGAATTTTTTTATATTTTTCCAGACCAGTGATGGATGAGTCCTAGGCGACAGTGACTCACAGAATTTAAGCCATCCAGCCTTTTTCTTTTCAGACAGTAATTTTAATGTTTCAGCAGCAGTTTTTTTATAAAAAATATAGTTATCAAAATTCATTGAGTGGGAATATCTTAGTTCAGCTTCCTTTCTCTTCTTGCATGCTACAGAACAATCTTGATCCCACCAAGGCGGTGAAGGAGCATTATTTTTATAAGGTTTTTTAATGGGAATTGTCTTATTTGCAGCAGATAAAATAGCATTTTTGAAAGTAGAATACACCTGAAGAACATTCTCTTTCTGAACCGTAGGGAGGGATGAAAGTTCTTCGTCTAGAACTGTGGAATACAGATGCCAGTTTGCTTTGGATGTGTTATATTTTAACCTAGGTTTGAATGGAACATTGACTGTATAGGAGTTAGGAGGATTAATAACAATAGGAAAGTGATCACTGCCATGGGAAATGGGTAATATTCTCCAAGAAAGAAGGGATGACAGGGCAGGAGAACAGAGTGACAGATCTACTGCACTTTTAGGATTTTGGAGGGGGGAAACTCTACGTGTAGGTGAACCATCGTTAAGGAGGCAGAGATCTAAATCATCAATGATGTCTAAGAATGTAGAAGACCAGGGATCACAAAAATGGGAACCCCATAAAGTATGGTGCATATTAAAATCACCAAGAATTACCATAGGAGGAGGGATGGAGGATATAATCCTCGTAAGTTCCGATAAGATATTTAGATTAGGTTCGGGAATGTAAATAGAAAGGAAAGAAATGTTATGAGCTCTAACTGCAACAGCATTAATTGAAGGACTATGAGAAGGAAGGGAAATTAATGTATAAGTAATTGATTTTGAGATAAGAATGAAAGAGCCAGCATGACCATCACTTCTATCATCCCTGAGACATGAATAGCCTGAGACCCTAAAATGGGAGCCAGGCTTTAGCCATGTCTCCTGGATGGCTAGGATAAGGGGATGGTATTTATTAATAAGATATGTTAGTTCGTTTTTCTTATTTTTAATGCTCCGGCAGTTCCACTGAAGTATTGGAGGGAAGGTTATTTGTTAAGGAAATGAGCTCAGTAAGTTTTTGGCGGAGGGCGAGTGGGAGATCCATGTCGCTGAAACGGGAAAGCATACTTATAAGCATGGAGACCATCAGTTCGCAGAGATTATCATTAGGGGAAATACTTCGCCCTATTATAGCACAACCATTAGTAGATGAAGAAGGAGGGGTATTTATTATTGCCTCATGGGCAGATTTATCATATCCATGACTAGATGCTGGATTTGGCGAAAGTCTTGGAGTGAATGTAGTCTTCCTGTAAGAATGAGATTGTGAGGGGACAACTGAAGGTAAAGGAGGGTTTGAAATAGGACAGGAAGTCTGATGCTCATATGAAGGAAGGGTTCTAGCAGTATCTGCATAGGATCTACGGACTTGAGGGAAACGAGCAGATGCTTCTAGATAGGAAATATTTTCCTGTGACATTGTGAGTTTGATAGATCGCTGCCTAGAGTGTTCAGGGCAGGAGGGATCTTTAGCTGTGTGAGATCCTGAACAAAAAAGGCAAGTGGGAGACTGTCTTGTGCATGATATACCCTCATGATTTTGAGCACACACAAAACAACGGGAAGATGATCTACACTGTGAGGTAACATGTCCAAAACGGCAACATTTGTGACATTGAATAAGTGGTAAAATGTAGGGCTCAACGGGCATTGAGTTGTAAAAACAATAAATATTAGAAGGGAGTTTCTGGCCGGAAAAAGTTAAAAGGACTGTTTGAGAGGGAATCCACACAGTGCTTTGGTTTTCATTAAGTGATTTTCTATTAAA